GCTGCCTTTGCGATTAACGAAGGGACCGCGCGGCCCCGCGGCCCGGAGCCAGCAGCTTCGAACTTACCGCTGGAAATCCGCCGCTCTCCCCTCCCGGCACGCACGGCCTCCTCTGTCCACTGACACCACCGACTCGCCAACACCGCAGGCTGCCGCTGGGGCATGTGCTGACCAGTGCGTCCTCGTTCTCAAGAAATCACTGATTCAATACCGACATCTTCAGTGTAACCTAAGAAGGCATCTCGATCCTTCCACCAGGTAATTCAGGACGATGGCTGGCCCTGTGTGTTTTCACAGTAAGAGCGGAGGTGAGAGGTCACTACTGTCAGCCACGCACTCCCCACAGCGCTGCAGCACATCATCTGAAAAGATTATACTTACGCCGGAAGGCTTTGTATCATGACACACAGGACACAGCAGGAGAAATGTTTTCCCAATTCATTTTTATTTTGGTTTCCATTGTTTACAGCATTGATACAGGAATAATTCATGCAAATTTATCACCTTAAATACAGCCGAGAGAAAACTCACTGGTAAGACTATTTCGAAGAGCTCCATCAACATAATGCAATGAGAAAAATAAGTAGCAGCAATAAGATAAAGTGCATTTAGCTGACCTTCTTTAATAAGAGTGTGAGGAAGACTGTTTCTGGAGCTACCTGTTCTAAGGATTAGTTTATCATTCTTTACAAAAAGCAGAAGAAAACAGCCTCCTTACTGACAGTGTTCATTCCCCACCACCCTAAATTAAAGAAGTAGAGCTGTATTTCGTTTAAGAGGAATCCAGCTCAGAGGCCTTTCTGTTAAAAGTTTGATTCTCGATCACTCGGGCTTCTAGGGCCAAGAGTTACGCACATAGTTAAATATTCTTCTTTCCCATGTTAGCAGTTTTGCGTCTTAAAAATTCAAGTGGTTCTTTCCCCCGCTCTATACGTTAGGTTTCAGCACTACAGTGAGAATGCCGACATCACCAAAATCTGTGATTTGATCTAATGGTGTCAGAAACACATTGGCAAGACACCAGATTCTAAGAACCCATCAATCTCCTTTCCCTTTACAGAGCAGACACTGGCTTAAAGATCAGACCATTTATCAGATTTCCCCTAAAGGCCTGCTGAAGAGATGCTAACAGCACCTCTTCAAAAGCAGGTCAGCGTTTCAAGTAGCCTGGAGCTGCTGAGCAGTGGTGTATCATTATCTCCCTCGACCTGGAAGTGAGAATTTCCTGGTGTGGTAGGGATGTGCTTCATATTTTAACTGAACAGCATAGCACACAGCCTATCATAAATGTGCATGCGATAGTTTGAGAGACCAGAGATCCAAATTTATTCACATAATACCAGCAGCAGAGTAACAATGGCTGATTCCCCTTACTCTGGTATACTGCACCGCAAGACTAGAGGACACATCTCCAGAGGAAAAGACTCAAATTTCTTTCTTACTCATTCTCAGATCTGATCCAAGCTGTATTTATGTCCTGGTGGTTGCCTGAGGAAACCGACCAAGGCCAATGAAGCCCTCTGATGAAAATGGCTTTTCAGTTTGGGTTGGATTCAAAGCTGTCTACTGGAAATGAAATGTTTGTTTGTTTCCTGCATTCCAGGGACACAAGAGTCTCACTGCTAGCTCCTACATGGTCATGATACTTCAAGTCCTACTGCAAATCTTAGAACAGCCTAAAGTACTTACTGACATTTCACTGGTTTTACTCCCTCAAGCATCGGGCAGCTGCTTCTTTCTGGAACTTTCCTGACACATGAAACAGAGCACTTGTCACAGGCATATATAGTCACACCTGAGCATGAACAAGAAATTCTTAGGCCAGCTGATACCCTTTTCAAGTGAAAAGTCTCATTTTCAGTAAGAAACCCCACACACATTGTTTAGTAGCTCTATTCAGTAAGTCAGCTGGGACCTGCTCAAACATAGCCCATATTCTCTAACGTTTGATGCTGAACAGATTTAGGTTGTCACTAACCTCAGAACTACGGGATCTTATTCTGGATTCCTCAGACATTTGTGGGGAACAGAAAGGTTATACCAAACACATGGCAAAATACTGACACACTAAGTGGAAAAGAAATTTTGCAACGTAACAACCTAATCCTGGTACTACTGAAATCAGTGGGAATTTCTCCTCTCTCAGTTCCAACAGGAAGAGACTGAAGTCCTTACAATTCCCAAATCTCACACTCCAAAAATTGCTTCAGGGCAAAACTCAAACATTAATGTGATCCATTTGCAAACAAAGAACGTCTTTAAAAAAAGTAAGTTGCCTTAACCCATTCTTGCCCTGGCATGAAATGCAAGGGACAGGTCTCCCCGCTGCCCCAGAGGAGCTGCACTTGCCAACTCATTCTCATACTTTTAACAGAAGAGAAACAACATCAAATCATATTACTGCACGGACTATAATAGCCTACGGGAACTCTACATGAAGCAAAATCTCTTACAGCTTGTAATCCGCATGCTGTTCTTGTGGCCAGATAGCAGTGATGGAATTCCGAAGGCCTGCTTCCAGAAACACAGCTGTGCATTTCCAAAAAAACCCCACATTCATCAACTTATCTCATAAAGCAGTTTGTTACATTCTGTCAACTGGCTTTTCTTTCCTATTTTTCTTCCTCAACAAGCTGCCAAACCATCAGCCCTACCTCACCTTCACAGGAGCTAATTATGTTTTTGCAAACTATTTGTCCGTGACATGAACCAGGCCAGACTGCATTATTAAAGAGCTCTTAAGAGGAAGAAGCTACCTCCAAAGACAATAAGCTCACCGGAGCAAAATCTTAGTCCCTTTTGCTCTGGAAGAGAACTGGGGTTTGTTCATAGGTTTAAACACGCTGACAGTAATAAACCTTTCTATGCAGGGACACAGCGATTCTCTGTTGTGTTCTATAATAACGGAGTATTAGCCTAGGAGATAGGCCTGCATGGGCTGCAAATGCATTGCGAAACCATCACTACGTCTGTGTGCGTGGGATCTCTGTTTACACAAACAGCTGCTTGTCACACATACATAAACCTGGGGCTTGGAAGTCAAAAGTTCTATCTTCTTGTAGTAAAATTAATGACTCCATAAAGACGTGTCACAATAATTTCTAACCTGATAAACCCTTGTTTGTTTTAAATTTGTTACTGTACTTGATTTTGCTTTAAAAAGCTCCCTGTAAACATATGAAGCACACATTCCTTCTGAAGCAGCCTGGTCTCACAAGAAAGAAAAAGGAGTTATCATCAGCTAGTGTTTAGAGGTGGGACACAAAACAGGGAAGCAGAATCCTATTGTTCACACTGCA